CATTTAGCACGAGTCCCATGTGGGCCGGCAGCCATCTTTTACGCATCTCATGGTCAGTTGTTTTGTTTTTGTTTTTATCATGTCTCACTTTTTGGATCAATAAATCATCCTTTTAAACGGTACTACACTATCTTGGCATCCTTCCTTGGGACTCGTGTTGAGTCCACCACCCACAGAGCCACCAGGGAAAGGAACTGAGAAGTGCCTTATCAGATGATCCAAGGGGAACCCCAGATGGACAGAAGTGCCCAGAGGGAAGCCCAGAGATGCTAGACAAGTCCCTAAGAGGATTCCATTTGAGACCTTGAGATGAGATTAGTCTTCTTAATGCATATTGGAATTATGCATCTGGTGAGTGTATAATTCGAATATTTTATCACCAGAAGACACTCGCGAAGAACCACTACTTCTATATAGACTTTGACACTATATTAGGGCACTTACCAGTCACTTATTTATGCCTATTACTACTGTCTATTTAATTATCAGCATTTATTCTATCTTTATGCATCTATTCAGTTTTGACACCATTTGAATTTAAGTGCTGCACCTTTTGTGTTTTATTTATTATTGAAGGTTTATTGGTGCCTTTCGGTGTACAGAGGCTTTTTTCTAGCGCTCACTTTATCTCTCTCTATACCATTGTCTTTAAATATAGCCAGACAGTTGTGAAGCTTTTTCATAGCACTACATTTGGCAGTTGACTTCAGGACCAGACATCCTGGGTTATTCTGGCTGAGAATATCACAACAATTTAATTGTCCATGCAAAAATATTAATAAACAAATTCATATTAATAAAGTATTTAATAGCACACATCTGGGTCTTTGCTAAAATCTGAAATATTAAATACACTATATTGCCAAAAAGTATTGGGCCAGCCCTCCAAATCAGTGGATTCAGGTGTTCCAATCACGTCCATGGCCACAGGTGTATAAAATCAAGCACCTAGGCATGCAGACTGCTTCTAGAAACATTTGTGACAAAATGGGTCGCTCTCAGGAGCCACCTGCGCAATAAGTCCATCTGTGTAATTTCTTTGCTACTAAACATTCCAAGGTCAACTGTTAGTGGTATTATAACAAAGGGAAACCAACTGGGAACAATAGCAACTCAGCCACGAAGAGGTAGGCCAGGTAGAAAGACAGAGTGGGGTCAGTGCATCCTGAAGCGCACAGTGCACAGAAGTCTCCAACTGTCTGCAGAGTCAATAGCTAAACACCTCCAAACTTTGTGTGGCCTTCAGATTAGCACAACAACAGTGCATAGAGAGCTTCATTGAATGGGTTTCATTGGCCGAGGAGCTGCATCCAAGTGCAATGCAAGGCGATGGATGCAGTGGCGTAAAGCACAATGCCACTGGACTCTAAAGTAGTGGAAATGTGTTCGCTGGAGTGACAAATCATGCTTCTCTGTATGGCAATCAGATGGACGTGTCTGGGTTTGGTGGCTGCCAGGAGAACGTTACTTCTCTGCATTGTGCCAAGTGTAAAGTTTGGTGCAGGGGGAATTATGGTGTGGGGTTGTTTTTCAGGGGTTGGGCTTGGTCCCATAGTTCCAGTGAAGGAAGCTCTTAAGGCGTCAGCATACCAAGACATTTTGGACAATTTCATGCTCCCAACTTTGTGGGAACAGTTTGGGGATGGCCCCTTCCTTTTCCAACACCAGTGCACAAAACAAGGTCCATAAAGACATGGATGTGAAAGTTTGAGGTGGGGGAACTTAACTGGCCTGCACCTCAACCCAATAGAACACCTTTGGGATGAATTAGAGCGGAGACTGTGAGCCAGGCCTTCTCGTTCGACATCAGTGCCTGACCTCACAAATGTGCTTCTGGAAGAATGGTCGCACATTCCCATAGACAGACTTCTAAACCTTGTGGACAGCCTTCCCAGAAGAGTTGAAGCTGTCATAGCTGCAAAGGGTGGGCCAACTCAATATTCAACCCTATGGACTACGATTGGGGATGCCATTAAAGCTCATGTGCTTGTAAAGGCAGGCGTCCCAATACTTTTGGCAATATAGTGTACATACAGTACAAAAGGGGAATGTCTTAAAGTTCTATACTAACTGTATTCCCCATAATTTTACCTCTTTTCTGTTTATTAATGATAATGGAATTTTACAGATTTCCATTTTATCAACCAATATTATATATATATATATATATATATATATATATATATATTATACAGCAGTATTTTTAGCAAAGAATATCCAATTTCAGAAACATCTAAAATGAATGTGTCACAGCTGTCAGGTAAAAGACAGCTGTATCTCATCTCTGTAGCTAGGCAATCTACTGGAACATGATATACGCAACCGACTGATTTCAGGACACTGCGTGGTCATCAATACCTTCCTAAAGTAACAATCACAGAGTTGACGTATAGAGACTATCAAGCGTGTTTTCTGTATAATCTTTCATCTGGAACACTGCAGATGTTTTCAATAAACCAACGCTATATAGTAGTTTCCTTTTCCTTAAACTTGGTAGGAAATGTGTACCCCGAAGACATACTGATAGCAGCAAGAAAATAATAACACTCAGAACAGATAATAAAATGTTCACGTTATATACCAGATCAATAAAAACAGCTAACTCTTAACCATTCAGTAAGCAATATAAACTTCAGCTTCAAGACACAATATTATTTTCTAAATTCAATTAGTTTCATGCTTTCGGGGATGCTATTTTGTGGAGTTGCTATGTTAAACGACTTTACCTCTTAAACTGCAAAAAAATCACAAAAAACAGGGTAATGAATGATTGCATTTGATAACTTCTAAAATGATTTGTTGCCTGACTGTTCTATTAACCCACTGACTTCAGTACTAGCCAAGTTACTGGTCTGGAACAAGTGTGCATAAAGGAAAGTCAGAGAAAAGTCAGAGGTACTTTTGTGCATCATTGCCTATTGACCAAGGCACTGAAGAAAGAGTGCCATCATGACAGTCAGGCAACTGGAGTTTTCAGAAAAACTCAACATTGGCATTCTCTCTATTATCAGTTTTCCTTTATTTTTTTAGTTTGAATATTTCATCATTCTGTGAGATTTGTACACTTTGACAAATATGCCTAGTGAATTGGGGAATGTTCTAATAAAGTTAAATAGATATGTTTAGTATATTAATTAAGACCATGTCCAAGAAAACAATTTGACTTTTTTTTTTTTGGTGTCTCGTGAAGAGTGTTTAGTTTCAATATTGTTATTTCCTGTGTTTATGGACTGGACAAATTCAGCTATAACTCTTTTCCAAATCTGAAAAGGTAAATCATGCTTACCCCTACTGTAGGTTGTAAGGCATGCTGTCAGGCATATTGTAATTGGGCTTATTTGTGGCATTGGCACATAGGTTTCTTTCTGGCAACTTGACTATGCAGCTCATTTTTGTTCAAGTATCATCATATTATGTTCCTGGAAACAATGACACCGTCTTTTTCCAGAGCAGTCTGTATTTCTCCTAAGGTTACCTGTGGGTTTTCATTGTATCCTGAACAATTCTTCTTGCCCCCAGGACTTATACACAATGCTATAGTGCTTGGTTACCACGCTGGAACAGGCACAAACTGAGCACAGGAAACAGGTACATGCAGTAGGCAGGTAGAGTAGTTCAATTACAGTCCAGGTACAAGTCAGGCAAGGTTCTGAGTAGTCAGTATCCAATCCATAGTCAAAAGGCAGGCGGAGTTCAGAGAATAGTCTATATCCGATCAAAGGCCATAAACGGGGTAATCCATAAAACAGCAGAGCAAGACAGGCAGACAGGGAGATTGAGCATGTGTTACACACACTATCACAGGCTTGGCTGGCTTAAATCAGGTTTGGTCTCCACCCAGAGACTGGCTACATCAATTACCTTGCAGGTGGACAAATAGTGAGAATGTATCGCAGCCAAGCAGGAATGAGACAAGCAGCTGTGATGGAGCAGGAGCTCTAGACACTCCTGATAATTTCCAGTTTCATTTGTTGGTAAAATATACAATGGTTGAACCTTTAAACAATTCTTGTTTGTAGGATCAGTTCCATTTGACATACTCATTACCCAAAACTTCCAATAACAGTGGGGATCACGAGAGGTAATGAGGGTTACATATTTACATAGTTACATAGTTAGTCTGGCTGAAAAAAGACAAAAGTCCATCCAATTCAACCGTAATCCTATACCCACAGTTCATCCAGAAGAAGGCAAAAAAACCCAGCAAAGCACGATCCAATTTGCTCCTACTGGGAAAAAATTCCTTCCTGATCCCCTAAGAGGCAATCAGATATTCCCTGAATCAACTTTACCTATAAATGTTAGTATCCAGTTATATTCTGTGTATCTAAGAAACAATCCAGGCCTTTACGAACACCTCTACCCTGCAATGTGTGTATTGTTCTTACTAGACTTAAAGTTAAAGTGGTATCTTGTTGTGTTACAAATTAAGCAACAATTCGTTTTCATCAGGCATTGACGCTTGTTAGCCACCTCCATTGATTTCAATGGTAATGCTTTGTAACCTGCTCTGCTAAACTAAACTAATACTAAAGTACAGTGAGCAAGCTTTGTCCCCTTAGGATAGGAAGGATGCTACTGGTAAGATCACCTAGAGAATAAAAGGGACAAGGCCTTGAAAATGACAATTAATTTAGTTACAAATCTAAGGACTGATAAGCTGAGATAAAAATGTTGTGTTTGTTTTTTGGATTTAAATACCCCTTAAGGCTCTTTAGAATGATCACAATATAGGTTGTTCATAAAAATGTTGGAAGGTAATCAGTAGAACGGTAACTTGAATGTCTATAGTGATGTGAACTCATTCATCAATGATTAATAAGCCTACAATCCAATGTAAAGAAACAATAAGCTCACACCTTAAACAAGTATTTTCTCACATACTAGGTACATGGAGGACTGAAGCAGTTTGCAAAGCAAATGAAGTGATTCCAGTTGCCAAAGATATCTCTGTGATAAGCGCAGCCACACTCAGTGTAAACCCATGTACTGCGTATAGGATGTTGATGGACTTTGTGACATTGAGACATGGTAAAGTAATATTTGCACTTAAACAGTCATTGATTTATTATTTGAATTTGTCCACTTTCTGTCAATACAATATTTCTACCAATGTAAAATATATACTGTAAAACAACCTATAAAGTGAATTATTTATATTATGCTGCGTTACATTTTTGAATGTATGAATGTATAAATCATAGCCAAAATGCTCAAAACAATCATTTATCACTAACTTGTACTTCTAAGATATAGAAACCTTTGGGGAGAGCTACCCCTACTTTCTGTCCTGGTGACCACTATCGTCAGGGCAGGAAATCAAGAGAAATTTTCCCGGAAGGACATAAACAGTAGGTAAACCTGGGAGTGGTTCATCACCTAACTAAAAAAATCTTTTGAAGAGATGCCTTTATTTCTGCCCTGAGAAACAGGAAGTAAGATGAATTTTAACCCATTGGAGAATGAGATCTACAAAATGACATATTTATTTCCTTCCTCATGCCATGGAAGTCCAGTTTAAAGAGTTTTGGTCTACACATATCAGTAATTAGAGCCCTGAAAATGTTTGCATTTCTTACATTTATTGCAACAAAGCACCCATATTAGAAGTCAATTCATCCTACCCACACAGCTGATGTTACTGACTATGTGTCTTGTTTGTCTGTCCTGGCAGGAAGGTTTTGAGCCAACTTAATGAGGATACCACTCAAGTCCCTTTATGCCTTTTACACATGGGTGAAAGGGCGTTGCATTTGTAGCTGCAAATGTTTGTATACGCAAAGCCAATACCAAACATAACATCAGTAGATTTCTATGTTCATGTGCAAAAGGCCTATTGCTTTTTATATCTGCTAAAAGTAGAGGTTGCATTGGTGATAGCACCTCATGGCTCACTTCCAAATCTAAGCAAGTAGCAGCTGAGATGCAAGAAAAGATGTATAAAAGTAGAAAGGTGTTCCCCTTTAATGTGTGTCCAATCCCCTCAGGAGGTGTAGTCTGTGCATTATCCCAGCCCTGTCTCTTGATATAGTTAGAGAAGGAGCTATCTGAGGTCTTTAGTCTGCTGTAGGACAAGATGATGGAGCAATACGAGGAAGCACTCCCCCTGGAGGCCTGGGGGAAGCTATGAGACCTAGGGCCTGAAGAGGACTGTATGGGAACCTTCATGTAGACGTAAAATCCACTGATTTAATGGTTTTACCAAAACAGTTACATTCAAGGTATCCTGTGAATGATAACTGTCCCAGTTACTTGGGCTCACAACTGAACTGTCAAGCCATAAAATGGCTGGTGTCACAACTGACCACACATGCAACCCCATGGCAACTGCAGATCAAACAGAGGATAAGATGGCACCTTCATTGGCTGTAAAGGATAGGGTGGTTTAGTTTTGCTTTAGGCTGTGAGTAGTACCACTGCACCCCCCTGTGTAGATAACAGAACTGTTATATTACATCCAAAATGTGGACAATTTCAAGGTATGCATCATTATCCCAATGTTTGGAGACCATCTGTGCAGTGTGTAATAAGATGCAACACCATTGTATGGACAGGTTTGTAATTATGATACAATTTAAGTAAAGTTCAAATCAAAAAACACTAATACCTCTTCCTTGTCTAAGTCGGGAGATAAAAGAAATGTGATACCTCATTTGGGAAGGAGAATAAATGTGGTTACTTGTACAAACCAGAGTAGCTCAGGAGCAGGTGGTGATTAAGGGTGAGGAGTCACCCTCCTAGCAGTGAAAAATGAACCCCCACAAGGAACACGCACCAGGCAACCCAGGAGACCATTTGGAATGAGCTCCAGGTGTTCTGTTGCACTTCTAGCAATCTGCTCTGGACAAAGGTAAATTGCAGGGCCCTGCATGAGAAGTGCTTTAGGCATGTGGAGTTAATATGGACTTTGATCAGGGGGATTCGGTAAGGTGGCCTCAGATTGGCATCTGTGTACGTGGTGCAGAGCAGTAAGTCTGCATGGGTTTAGGCAAAGTACACAATTGAAGGAGCCTGGGAGCCTTGTTTGTAAGTGGAGTCTCAGCTGCCTACATCGGCCATGTGAGTAAACGCTGGGCAATCTTCTTATACATAAAGTATATTCCCTATGTTTGCAACACGATGAAGAGCTAAGCATAGAGGAGGGATGCATTAAAGAGAAGGGGAAATTTGTAAGTGCCAGGATACCGAATGCTAGCATCCTGTTATTAGGTTCAACCAGAAAGACAATGAAGCACACTGACTACAGCTATGATACAATGTAACCATTTATTATGAGGAAACAAACACATATGTAAGTAGCAAAAAACATAAATACCCTGCAAACATAAATACTTAGTGAAACACATGTAAAGTAATTAAGAACTTACTCTACAATAAACTACTGTATATACAACACAATGATCAGGAGAGCAGGGCAAACAGAGGAACAAGGCTAAGCAGGGTTGGACAGGTAAACCAGAAACCAGAGTACAGGTAGTAGGACAGGTGAGGATTAAGGAAACCCCACCATATATTCCAGGGAGCTCCAGGAACCCATTCACAGCTAGGGGAGGGCAGAACTGTCACTTCATCAGTGGCCAAGCTACCTGAACTGCAAAGAGGCAACTGGCTGAAGAGGACCAATATGACCGCACGGGGCACAGATATCTGAGCAACAAATTACTGCAAGACAACCCTAGATCCACTGGGCAGGTGAGTGTGTATTTAATCCAGTATAACCAGTAAGTGGGAATGTGGGGGGAGAATAGTTAGGGGGGAGTTAAGTCCCTTTTTATGTGTATGTCCAGCCAAAATATTTTCCTCCTCTAGGAGTGGGAAAGAACTAAAACCCTGTCATGTTTTACTGCTGCCTGGGTCACCATTAAAGGGATTTTCCAACAATTTTTGCTCGCACTTTCCTGTTCTGCTGACAATAATTTTGCCAGACAGGAAGTTAAGAAAAACTGCAACAGGGACATAGACAGCAAGAAGAAGCTTGTAAAACATCAAACAACACCGCACTGAGCTCATGTGCCTATGCCGTGACACCACACACATCCAAATGTAGAGAGAAACCAGCACTCCAACAATGTTTACTAATGTCTCAATGTTTCAAGAGGGCACAGACCCTTTCTTCTCAAGGTGACAGACAGAAAAAAATACCTGCAGTTGGGACTATATATACATGCAATTTACTAATCACCCAAATCAGAAAGAAGTGTGGTCAGCCAGGCTGTCTGTTTCAAGAGCCACAATGCACAACCTAGGTTAATGGTATGATCTGACATCTACACACGATGAGCTGTGTTCATACTTGGAGTGTTGGCTTTTCTCCACATTTAGTAATAAGACCCTGATAGAGTGTTAGGCTTCCCGTACTCCATTAAAAGAATAAGCATTTCTATTTCTGTCTGTGTTGCCTTTGAAGGTTTACTCTCAATCAGGGGCGGACTGACCATTCGGGTGCTCGGGCACTGCCCGAGTGCCCATGGTCAGTAGGGGGCCCCATCAGATGCCCCTGGTACCTTTCATATGTTTTTTGGGTGTGGTTTGAGTGTGGGCAAGGACACAGGGGCCCCATGATCCCCTATTGCCCGGGAGCCCCATGAGTTGTCAGTCCACCCCTGGTCTCAATACATATCTTTCTGAAGATTTATCCTCACTAACCTTACAGAGGTTTTAACCCTTCCACACTCTATTCAAAACTAAAAAAAAAAATGGATGGGCATAAACATAAAGGGTTTAAACAGATATTGTTGCCATACAGTAAGTATTTTCTTTTCTTACTTGAATATTGGAGTTCTTTGCTTATTTCTTTCAGATCTTTCATGAATTAATCCTTTCACTCCACCTTTTTGCAGGAGCTTCCTGTATTAAGGACCAGGCAGTGCTGCTCTCTTTCCTTGTGCAGTGTGACTGGTCTTGTATCCGCCCTCTCCTGTCATTTTCTGCTGGCTGCCTGTATTGGGGGGCTCCCACAGCTCTGCTCTGTTCATGCATACAGTACAGCATAATGATGATGTCACTGCTACTTTTACAAGATCATCTAAATTAGCTAGAGTATTTATTGTGCATAAAAATTGTTTTGTACAGTTTTTGCCTAATAATGAATATATTTAAATACATGTTTTTGTGCACAGAGTTTAGATTTAAATGTAAATCTCAAACACACAGTAGCTTCTATTGACATGGATTAGGTGTCAGGTATAGAATAATTAAACAGGCAGGTCAAGGATGTCCATGTTTGTTCTTTATGGCAGATAAACCCATCAAACGTATACAGTCACATAAGTATGAAGAATATTTCATCTAATAAGTGCTCCAGACCAGTACTTCAAATACACTTACGTTTCTAGAAATTATCATTATCATACACATTGAGTACACACATGTGCATGACAGTGAGATATAAAAATATACATCTAAAAGTCCCTATGCCTGCACAGCTGGGGTTGTCACACACATCTGAGATGTTATCGTACAGCTGTCACATTTGTATTCACCTGTCTACAGCACAAGGAAAATTATTACAGCACATATGGTAGAGAATTACACATTTCTAAATCAGACCCCTGCTTTATGCATCTCTGACTCACATCTAAAAATTCTGTTCATGGCAGTAGAGTAGCTATAGACTGGCAGAACATACAGTAACTATGACCTGTTACATTAATCATTTCAACTGAAAAAAAAAGAAAAACAATACCAACACATATATTGCAGTACAATCAGTTTTTTTTAATATTCTACAAAAATTGTGTAACATCACAAAATGTTTTTTATGAAACAGTATAGATCTTGGCATCAGCCTGTTTAAGTCTTTTAACACTAAAACACTGCAGGTTAAAACCTCCTTAGAGGTTATAGGTTAATGTGAGAGATGGAAGAACCAGGATTCAATTCGGATTGTGTCTGCTTTTTTCACGTTTGGGACTTTTACCAGAACTTACCAACTTTTTTAATGCCTATTGGAGGGTTGTCTTAGGATGTCCTGCATGTTATAATATCTAATCCAGTGCTTTCCCTCTATAGCTCTTCATGAGAGCTATATAGGGATCAGGGGCGGACTGACAACTCATGGGGCCCCCGGGCAATAGGGGATCATGGGGCCCCTGTGTCCTTGCCCAAACTCAAAAAAGCCTATGAAAAAGGTACCAGGGGAATCTCATGGGGCCCCCTACTGACCCCGGGCCCTCGGGCAGTGCCCGAGTTTCGAAATCGTCAGTCCACCCCTGATAGGGATACATAAATGGAAACACGCTTACAATGTAATATTAATGAATCAATTCACAAAGGAGTTAAACAATGTAGTTCCTAGTTAAAAAATAACATGAATTTTCAAATTGGCACCATCATGTATAAAACTTTTTCATGATAGTTTTAAATTATGGGTGGTCACTTATGGGTTGATTTGATTTACTAAAACTGGAGAGTGGAAAATCTGGTGCAGCTGTGCATAGAAACCAATCAGCTTTCAGGGTTTTTTTTTCAGAGCTTGAACAAGTTGAAGTTAGAAGCTGATTGGCTACCATGCACAGCTGCACCAGATTTTGCACTCTCCAGTTGCAGTAAATCAACTGGTTCATACTGATTTGGTGTAGAATTTGCAGGGTTTTCTGTGCAAATTCTGCACCACATCAGAATCACACTGCGTTCATGTGAACCGCTGTGGGTGTGTATGTTAAGTTAATAACACCCTGAAAGCGGTCTGAAAAACACGGTGCGATGTACAGAATTGGATTGCATAGATGTGAATACCCATGTGATCCAATTCTAGTGCAAACCAAAAAAAAGGGTCCTGCATGTTTTTGGTGCGAGTGTGGTGCTATTAGAGCCATACAAAATTTATGACTCCAATCGCATCGGACACAAATCGTATGGGATTTGCACAGGAATGTGTTGCAGTTTCCATGCGAATCACATGCAATATACCTACCGCACCACATATATGTGAACCCAGGCTAAAGGTCTATTTATTAAAAAAATAGTTTGCAAAGAAACTCCCATAATGTACCTATTGTGTTTATTTCCAATGATTGTCGGCTCAATCTAGTGACCATACATTATTCACGGAAATACTGCTTTATGGGCACTAAATTAGGCTCACAATGATAGAAAAGAGGCATATTGGACACATTATGAGGACCGTAATGTGTCCATAATGTTTAACACCACTTGCCCTCCAGAGGATTTACTCCCCTTCCTGACCAGGCTATGTTTTGTGATACGGCGCTGTGTTACTTTAACTGACAATTGCACAGTCATGCAACGCTGCACCCAAATGAAATTTATGTCCTTTTTTCCCACAAATAGAGCTTTATTTCAGTGGTATTTGATCGCCTGTGCGGTTTTTATTTTTTGCGCTATAACAAACAAAAAACGACCGACGACAATTTTGAAAAAAAACAATATTTTTGACTTTTTGCTATTAAACATGTTCAGTAAAAAAAATTTTAAATCACATTTTGTCATAAATTTAGGCCAAAATGTATTCTGCTACATGTCTTTGCTAAAAAAAAAATCCCAATACGTGTACATTAATTGGTTTACATGAAAGTTATAGTGTTTACAAATGGCAGTATAGGTACTACTAGAATTTCTTTCTTTTACTAGTAATGGCGGCGATCAGCAACTTATAGTGGGAATGCGGCGGGCATTCTGACACTGGGGGGAACTGACTTGGTGTCACTTACACTGTACTATTGGCACTGGGCAGGAAGGGGTGAACATCTGAGGTGATCAAAGGGTTAACTGTGTGCTGTTTCACTATGTGGGCTATGTGTGTGTTTCACTGTAAGCACAATGCTTTGTATGACTCTGCTATGCAGAGTCATACAAAGCAATGTGCAGGAGCTGACGGGGAGACATCTGTGTTGTTTATACACAGGTCTCTCCCCCGTTGGAAATACTTGGGGATCACAGGTTGCCAGTCAGTAATCACCAGGACTGTTGCAGTATTTCTGCTATAGGGCGATGCAGAAGCAGTTAATAATCATCTCCATCTAGTGGCCATATCTCAATCAGGAAAATACCTTATCACTACTAGATGGAGCTGACCATTCCAGGAAACAAACATATTAGACACATTATAGGGATGGTTGTATGAATTCTGACAGTCACATACTGATTTTTATTTATAAATAGACCCCTAAGTGTCCATCTGACCAAGCTGTACCTTACGATTTGTATACACTATATATAGTAAAGAAATAAGTGAGCGCTTTTTTTTTTTTTTAAATTCAAGCAGCTAGGCACACAGGATAACCAACAAAAATCCTCACAAGAAGTTATATATAAAAAGTGCAGCGCTAAAAATATATAAAGTTGTCATACATATATGAGAAACACAATAAATAAATGTGAATAAAAATAGTCCCAGCAAAGGTGACTTGGAGTAAAAGTGCACACTAACCAGATGTGCACAATAAAAGTGCAATGTAGAGATCATAAGGCTCATGGGGTAATCATCAGAGTAGAAATGGTGTTCCCTTGGTCAGAGAAGATCCCCGGGTGGTGCAGAGCTGGGCAGGAAGAAAAACTCCTTGATAACCGGGAACAGAACGAACGTTGATCCGCCAGAAGAAATACGACTCCTCCACTGGGCAAAAAAACGTATCTGGAAAAAAGGTTGCTCCCCACGGGGGGGTCAAGAAAAGATGCCCATAGTGAAGTATTGCATAAACAGTGGAGGAGTCGTATTTCTTCTGGTGGATCAACGTTCGTTCTGTTCCCGGTTATCAAGGAGTTTTTCTTCCTGCCCAGCTCTGCACCACCCGGGGATCTTTTCTGACCAAGGGAACACCATTTCTACTCTGATGATTACCCCATGAGCCTTATGATCTCTACATTGCACTTTTAATGTGCACATCTGGTTAGTGTGTACTTTTACTCCAAGTCACCTTTGCCGGGACTATTTTTATTCACACTTATTATTGTGTTTTCTCATATATGTATGACAACTCTATATATTTTTAGTGCTGCACTTTTATATATATACACTATATATGATTATTCAATCATATATAGTATAGTATAGTTAGTATATTTGCTAACTGGTAGTGCTTACTGCTTGTTAGTAGTCATCCCACACTCAGCGACATGGGTTTTTTTCCAGACTTGACATTACCAGTGTTGCACATGTAAAGTGTGGTAGCATTATGCAAAAGTAGTGACTGTGGGTAAGTGTTGGGGAGCAATAATAAACCAAATATTTCAAGTCAGGCATACAGTCTACCATCCCCAAATCTGGACAGCTAGCAAATATGTGCTTCTCCTCCACCATGTTAGCCTGTATTTATGGCCTTCATCACTGAATGTGTGTGTTTTACGTTGAGGGCCCCAGAATATGTATCCCCTCTAAAACAACATCCTGGATAGTTTCAGTACATTGCAATCCCTCTCTCCATTCACATAAGGTACACATGATGGAAGGATCTTCTGAAGATCTCTAAAAGTAAGTTCAAACATTAGGAAGGCATTCCTACCCAGGGTTAATTTCCCATCTGAGCATTCAAAGTGAGTAAATACACATAACAATTGTCATTTGGTGTGGGTACATTACTTGTTTAGTTGATAAACTCAAGGGGCTACAATAAAAAGTTGCTTTTCATATATCTTTTTTTAATTACTGTTGGCCAATTAATATAACTATGGTGTGACTTATTTTTCACAATGTTCCAACAAAAAAAACCACATTTCTGTTCTACTTGTATAATCTTCCAGATTTTAGTTTTACCTCCCACACATGCTACTTGTTTACTGTAGTTGCTGGCAAATAACAACCACGTTGTGTCTATATGTTTCCCAAAATTCTATCACAAAATAAATCATTCTAAAGCACTGCAGGAGTTCAAGGGTATTACTATTGTTCTACTCAAGCTGACATGTTATTTGTACTTTTATTGTAGACAATAAAAGTACCTTTAGTTAAGGTTATTCATTATTTTCTATTAATGATACAAGTTCCCATTAAAATACTTGTTTGGTTGGGGCATGGTTTGGCTTAAAGCAGAACTAAACACTCCTATCCTTATAGCCAAGGAAGCTGCCGTCTTAGCCATAGCAATTTGATCTACAGTTTCCATGGTGCTGCACGTGATCAAATATGACACCAGCCAATTGATGACAGTTCATTTGAGAGCACGAGCAACCGTGACATGGAATGCCTTGTTTTGTGAAGTAGCTAAATGGATGGGTTTAGTTCCACTTCAATTTGTGTTGTGTATAAGGTTTGGTTCACATCTACAGGTGCAACCAAGCGCAGAAGAGTTTCAGCACTTTTTTTGCACATTGGGCAGCACATTCATTTCAATGAGCTAACCTATGCACAAGAAATGCAATAAAAAGAAGTCCCTGACCCCAAAAATGCGCTGCACCAAACCGCATGGTCTGGTGCAGTCTGGCATGCATGGAAACATGCTCATTTGCAGATGCATGTGGATGCCTTTAACAATTAATGGCACCACTGCACATCTGTTAAATGGCATTGCATTTCATCATGTCAGAAAACTGCACAATTACAGTACACGGTGGATTTTTTAATTTTCCTGGAGCCTTAAAGAAGAAAAATAATGCAGCTACCACATCTAAAGACTGGTAAACTGGAATAAATGTAATTTTTGTTCTTGAATTTTTATATGCTTCAAATAAGCCTAATTGTCTTCTTGTTCCAAGGTGATACTGTCATTCAAAATGGTGCAAACGGTGGTGTGGGACAAGCTGTGATACAGATTTGTGCATCAATGGGAGTAAATACGATTAACGTCATTAGAAATAGGTGAGGATTAAACTACATGGACACTTTTCATTAACATAATCCAGATACAAATACGTAAATTGCAAACTTTATAACAACATTATAGCAATAGCATATTTTATGCTGAAGCCAAGGTTATAGCAGAGAATCAAGGAAGGTCTTGCAAAACTCTTGCTGATCCCTGTCTTGGTAGGGCTGGCTAAATGTTTGGCTACAGAAAGGGATATACTGAAAAAAATCAGGGATTAGGGCATGAGATCAAGAAGGAAATCTGCACTTGGCCTATGCAGGATAAAACAACAGGATAGCTCTAATAACATCTCCCCAGCGGTGCACATTCCCCTTCCTTTGATCCACCACCCTGCCCCTTGTTCTTCTAGGTGTGGAAGACAATATTTCTTTACCCATGTTAACTACATTGGTGCTTAGTGATTAGCTCAGTGCTGTCACATGGTGGAAGGGACAGTCCTTATCCCTGTGTAAACCTCAGCCACAGTGATCCAGAGTTACATCATGCAGTCTTTTTTCAACTCTTATAAAAATAAAATTAAAAATGCAGCGCTAATTATGAAATTTTATAAACATCAAAATAATGTCCATATAAGTCCTCAAATAAATGAAGCCAGATGCAAGGGGAGATTACGATCGAAAAACCATCACCATACACCCAAAAGAGATGGCCTCTTACCAGCCAATTTGACCGTACAAAACCAGTCAGCAAGCGCAGTGTGATATAACATCAATGCAACAAACGAGATAAAGGATAAACTTCTCTACTTTAAAGATCTCCAAATTTGAAGAAACTCCCATCCGACAGTCAGAAAATAGGTAAAAAAGAAGAGGCAACTCAGTGCAGTAGTTAAAATAAACTTTGGCAGATTTATTAAAGATCCACGTACATCAAAGTGTAAGATAACCAGCATTGAAAATACAAAGAAGACTTCTTTCTGATGATGAAACGCATTGGGTGGAGCTTCGGCATGTGACGTCACCATGTTCTGGAGGGACGGCGGCAGTTTTGCTGGTTTGAAACTTTTCTATTTTCAATGCTGGTTATCTTACACTTTGATGTACATGAATCTTTAATAAATCTGCCAAAGTTTAAGGATTTCTACTGATGATCGTTTGCTGCATTGATGTTATATCACACTGCGCTTGCTGACCGGTTTTTTTGTACGGTCAAATTGTCTGGTAAGAGGCCATCTTTTTTGGGTGTATGGTGACGGTTTTTGGACCGTAATCTTCCCTTGCATTTGGCTTCATTTATTTGAGAACTTATATGGACATTATTTTGATGTTTATAAGATTTATAATTAGCGCTGCATTTTTATTTTATTTTTGTAACATTGCCTATTTATGTGCAAGCTGCTTTTATTTTGTTTTAGTATATTATATTTTATTTTCTGAGTGGTTTCAATATCTGAGCGCAAGTGCTGTGTGTTATATATTTTTTCAACTCTTACCCTAGGTCAGGGGTAGGCAACCTGCGGCTCTCCAGCTTTGCAGGACTAGAAGTTCCATCATGCCTCTGCAAGTCATAGCTGTAACTGTCATTTTTGTAATGTTGCAATGCCTCATGGGAAATGTAGTTCCACAACAGCTAGAGAGCCGCAGGTTGCCTACCCCTGCCCTAGGTTCACACCTATGCAGGTTGCGTTTAAGCCATTTTCTCTGCATTGCGTTTTTGCATTGCATTTTTGCAGCGTTTTTGATGGGTTTTTTTATTTTGTTTATTTTTCTTGTTGCTAGGTAGATTTAAAGCTCAAAATGCATCAAAAACGCAGTAAAAAACGCAATGCTTGCTTTTCTGTAGCATTTCCATGGAAGTCTATAGAGCCAAAAATGCAACTTTTTGCGGTAAAAAAAGTAAATGACCCTTTCCAAAAAACACCGGGTGAAAATGCACAGATGTGAACATGCCCCATAGGAAATCATGTTAAATGGACAGTACTGCATTTCTGAAAAACGCTGCAGAAAACGCTTAAGTGTGAACCTAGGGTCAGAGACTGCACAGAGTGGCAGAAGTGAAGAAAAAGTGAGTATTGTAGTTGGCAAGAGAGGCAATAAAGTGAATAAGAGGAATTCATAAAGAGTGTCTAAGAATCACAACATACTTTCACAGTAGAAATAGTGCAGGCAACAAGTTGATGTAGCTGTTACAGACAGGACCATGAATCTGGAGTGTGGAAGCACACCATACAGACACTTTGCCCTCAGTGCAACTGTGGTTCCTTCCTGCCGCTGCACCTGTCAGATAGCACAGCGATGAGGAGTTTTGCAGCAGGGGATGGCACCTGATGGAGATTCAGCACTGTTAGTTTTCCATCAGGTCCACTCCCCTTATGAGTGACAACAGGCTGATTCTTACCCAACAGACAGCCTGCTCTTGACTGCAGAATCTGCCACTGCTAATTATAAGGTAAGAGTGGACCTGATGGGGAACTAGTGCCTCAGCTTCCCCATCGGGCTCTGCCCATTGCCATGTCACTGAATGCATGGAGGCTAATGGCTGTGAAGCTAACAGCACCATTAGCAACCAGTGACGGGGAGATGGTAGCAGGGGCTAAAATGCCTCTCTGCTGCACTGCACATATGGACAGGCACTCTGCCTGTCTCTATACATTAACTTAGTGTAGATCTTTATTACCTCCAGTTTCATTATCTACACACTAGAGGTAATTTTTTTTTATTTTATTGCATTAATAGTGCAACAATGTAGCATTAAAAGCTGATCCTGACACATGTTGGTAAAGTTTCCGAAACAGGCAGCAGGCATTTTTTGGTACATTTTAAAGTACCATAGCAGCAGTGAACTTTCGTAGTGCTTTATTGAATTTTCCCCAAATGTATTTTTTTACAATGTAGGGATGTTCTTATAGATGCTTATTTCACAGAATTAGAGAATTGACTAGGAACAAAAAGAAAGTTTTAAATGGTAATGTAAACTCATATAAAAATGTAAAACTCTGCGCACCAGGATCTGTTGTCAGTTATTGGTAAAGGATTCAGCCAGCTGGGGAATGTGGCCAACAGGAAGATTCAACAAACAGTGGTTTCTCCTTCTCACTCCCCTTCTTGTACAGCCCCATGGGGGAGGTGATGTGCCTGTGTGGGGCCAGCACTGACAGCTGATTCACATACTGAATGTGCATTTTGTTGTGGTGTGTTAACAACACCTATGTTGCGTATTAACGTGTTTTGTGTTAGGACAACCCAAAAAGCACACATACACTATTTTTTCTAGGCCTAGCACACAACAGTGTATGGTAGTGCATCACTATGCATTGTGGTGAACTGCCATGCATGTGTATCAGATGTTCATTCAGGTCCCATTTAAAATGAATGACAATGCAATGCATTAAATGTGGCTGTTATTATGCATTGCTGTATTTGTACACATTACCACAATTCATACTGTAGGTGTCCATTGTAAGTTTATCTACAATTAAAGCTGAACTCCAGGAATTTCAACCACTTTCTAAAATGTGCTGGCTTACTGTGGGTCAAGCCACCCCTGTACAAATCATTAGTTATACCTCATCTGGAAAATGCAGTTCAGTTTTGGGCACCAATTCACAAAAAGAACATTGGGGAACTGGAGAAAGTACAGAGAAGGGCAAACAAAGTGATAAGAGGCATTGAGGAGATCAGCTAAGAGCAAAAATATTTCCTCATAGCTGAGCTCCTCCATGAATTTATTCTCTCTTGAGAAGAGGAGATTAAGGGGGGAATATGATCAACATGTATAAATACATCAGTGGTTCATATAGTGAACGCGGTGTAGAGTTATTCACCCTGAGGTCATCACAGAGGACAAGGAGGCACTCTTTTACAGCTGGAGGAAAAGACATTTAAGCTCCAAACACAGAAAGGTTTATTCACAGAGAGCTGTGAAAATGTGGAATAGACTCCCTCAAGAGTTGGTTCTGGCCAGGTCAATGGATTGCTTTAAAAAAGGCCTGGATTGTTTCCTACGTACACAGAATATAACTGGATACTAACATTTATAGGTCAAGTTGATCCAGGGAATATCTGATTGCCTCTCGGGGATCAGGAAGGAATTTTTTTCCCAGCAGGAGCAAATTGGATCATGCTTTGCTGGATTTTTTTTGCCTTCCTCTGGATCAATTGTGAGTATAGGATTATAACTTTTTTTTTAATGGTTGAACTGGATGGACTTTTGTGTTTATTCAGCCAGACTAACTATGTAACTATGCAAGTCCAATGAGGCACATGCCACATATCCCTTTTACTTACATCTGACAGTTTTATTGAACTCTTGAGAGGCTAAGACCAAAAGAATGTTCCCGATGCTAGGTAAAAATGCTAATTTAAAGAGAGCACATTTTAGGAAGTGGCTGAATTCCTGGAGTTTAGTTTTAAAGTCCAATTGAACTTTCAGATTAAATCAGCTACTGTAAATACATTCCAGGAGAATCAACACAAAATGTGTTTAAAATGTCTCAAAGTTCATTTTATTTCCAAAACAGCTACAGCCTAAGTAGAAAAGCTTGTGTCTTGCCAGCATGCTGCAGAGTGGACCCCTTGCTCTTTGCAGGAAAACAATGATCTCTCTGCAAAGGTCTCACACACGCACACCCTGCTAGTGCTCCCCAGTCAGCAGGGAGCATGAGCTTTGCTATTTGTAAAGCCAAATGTTTGCCACAGTAAGGGGCATATCAAGTCTCTGCAACAAGATCACTGCTTCCATACAGAAAGCAAGGGTCCACACTGCAGCTGCTGGCAGGTGACAGGCTTTTCTACTCAGGCACCCCAACACATCCTCTAGAATGCAAGTATATTATTACACACCTCAAAGAATGCAGCAGGACCAACATTTTTTGAGTGTGAAGGTATGTTACAGCCCATACATTGTAAAGAGGTAGCCTAACATGATGCAATGCACCACAATCAACAAAAATGCCTTTGAGAGTCCCTCTGGATAAGTAATGAGCAGTATTTGAGGCCTTCTACAATTTCCAAGTTGCCAACCATAGCTTTAAGTAATTGTAATGGAGGAGTTCTAAGAGAAAGTAAACCCTTCATTACCTCAAAGCCATTAAAATAGCAGCATTAATAAAATGTAGAATGCCACAGGGTTCTATGTGTAAAATATCTTCAGGAGCACAAAAGAACCATTGAAACCTAGATCAGTGTATTACAAAAAACTCCAAATTCTACTGGCTAAGGCTTCATGTACACAAGCCTACTGCTCTAACCGCCTGCCAATGGGAAACGCAAATCGCGGCAAAAGCACGGTACCAGGGGCTGATGCAGGGGTGGTGAATAACATCAACCACAATCTCTGCCCCTTTGTTTTCAATTCAGCTGTCAACCCTGGAAATCTGACAGCAGATTTGTCAGCAGGTCAGCTGGCAAGCCAGACTTCATACTTGGATAAGGGCCTGGTATGGATTGGTGGTGGATGTAATGGTTGTGTGCATTAATCCATTTTGTTCAGGTTTCAGACATTTTTGTCATGAGAAGAGTCATAGCCCAGTGATTTTACCCCCCCCCTCCAGAAATTCATGGAATTCTTTAGCCTTAACTTTTAACGCACTTCAAAAGAGCCTGTTATCTCAACTTAGGGATAGCAGCACCAACAGACAGGCCTTTGCAGAGCTGTAAACAGCTAATTGATCAGTTCTGTCCCTCGTGTTTGTAGGGCAATAAAGCACTAGGAACATATACCGCGCCATAAAATGGGGATCATAAAGCAGTCAGGCTTGCAGTGACATTTTAGAGACCCCTGCCCTGCCCAACTCAACATTTCAAAACTACACACAATTCATAACATCAGACAGGACCAAGACACACCAATGTTAAGTATATTTTTGAACTGGGAATATCATACTGAACAAATAAAGTTCATAAAGGCTAAGATCATGACAACTCATGGGGCCCCGGGCAATAGAGGATCATAGATGAAAAAGGTAACAGATCTCATGGGGCCCCCTACTGACCCCCCCGCCCCTCGGGCAGATGGTCAGTCCGCCCCTGGCTAAGATATAGCAGTCAGATAGCTCCTGGGTGACAGGTCCATCCAAAATACTCTGTGTTTGGTATCCCTGGACACAAAATATAAATGCTGAACAATAATCTACCCGTTTACAGAATGCAGACAGTATATAGTGAAGGATAATGATATCGGTATAAAGCCGTGTGTGAGGGAGGGCCAATAGACAATGATAAACATGGTGACACCCCCATAGCCATTCCTGAGCCACTTAATTGGTCAGAAGGTCTCTGTTGACACCCCTTTAACACCACCAAAAAAGAGACTGCTCCAAAAGTTGACAGCTCTCGTGTACCATCAACCAAGGAACATCTGTCAAGTTATGAGAGCCGATAACACCTTTCTCACCCTTAACTGAACTCTGCTAAAACCAGGGACTTTGCAAGTATTTACCTTTTTTCACCACTTGTCTTACTGTTGCTTGTTCTCTTTGTTACTTTGTAATCTCTTTGTTTTTGTGAATATTTTATTTGCACCATTTTGACTTTTTTGTTATTAAACCCTATTCTGAAAAGTGTTGAAATTGTTTCCAAATGTGCTAATGCAAACTAAAAGCACCCCTGTCTCTTGAAGAGTGATACTGTAGTAAAAATCCCCTAAATATAGCTGTCTGAGGTGACTGTGTGTGTTATTGCTAAGATTGTGAGTTTCCTCCTTCTCAGTCAAAAGGTGGTGGTGGTAGCTTAAAGAGTTAATTGCTTTGTTAACTTAACCCAGTGACAATCGTTTTCAGGCTGCTGCCACGTAGATTGTGCAAGCTGAAAAATCTTTGTGCAGGGTGCAGCTGAGAGTGACTATGGTACGTAAGTGACAGCACGGTGTGAGATTGGCCAGTCCTTTTTCACGAGTTAGCGAGAAGGACAGGGGTCTGACATCCGCGTTTGAGGGCAGGGTGTCTTTTGTTTGTGTGGGGTACCCCCTTAAAATTTATACCAGACCATCAAGGATAAGGGTTCTTGTATGAGTTTTATGGGGGCCCCATGATTTGTTTTTGTTTTAGACTTTTTAGGTAGATTTAAAAAAAATGCTGGTTTTTAAACAGTAATGGACATCCCCCAACATGTATGTACATAGTATAGGTAGGTTTAAGGCACCACCAGGCATGTGTTTTAAAGGATTTGAGCTCCCTGCAAAACAGTATTTTTTTAAAAATTGCATTGGTACTAGTCCCCCTAGCGCCTCTGTGGCATTTGTTAGGCAATTCCTCAGCCTTTAGCCTTAAAGTGGTTCTAAAGGCAGGGAGTTTTTATCTTAATGCATTCCTTCTCCCATTAAAGGAGAAGTGCAGCTAAAGCTCGTTTGGCTGTGAATCACAGGAATGCAGTTTGTTCTGCACTCCTGTGACCCTGAAGTTACAGAGCTAGTCCAAGCTGGGGAGAGATCCCAACCATATGGATCTGTGAGCCTGAGCCATCTGTTCCCGCCCCCTCCACAGTCCAGCGCTCCAGTGAGTGCTGGGGGGGGCAGAGCAGACAGCGGTGACTGATTGGCACTGCTCTCTGTTCAGAGCGATGAGGAGAACTGAGCGATCAGCGGTGATTGATAACTCAGATCGACTAGATTGATGTTGCATCCTCCTAAGTAAGCATTATTTAAAACAAAAAGCAAAAACCATGCTTTTCTTTTAAGGTGAAAAAACAACCCATTAACGATTTCCTTCCCCTCCTTCTCTAAACACTTACGGCTTGCTATGGGGGCACACTCTGGTGTATTTACCACAAGGCAAACAAGGCATTTGCCTAGGGTGGGCATTTTTCAGGGGGGGCAGCACTGCCCCTCAGAAGAAGGGACAGAAGAGGGGACACACGCGGCATGGGGACCTGGTGGGTTCTGAGAGAGGCTGCGGGTTTCATCATGGTGGATGCACAGCCCAACTCTCGTTCCCGGGGATGTCCAGAACTGTGAAGGTGAGCGTATTTCTCTTTCTTGCCCTGGGGGATGGTGGCTGGTGTATGGGGGGCAGCGGTAGTGGAAGGCTCTCTTGGGTGGGAGGCAGGGGTGTTCTTGGTCAATGTCAGGCTCTCTCTGTGGGGGGCGCCGATTTTTGTGTTGCCTAGGGCAGCACAAAACCTAAATACACCACTGGGCACACTGGAGCCTTAAGCACCAATGGGGCATAGAACAGGTAAGTATAACATGTTTTTTATTTTAATTTAAAAACAATGAGACTTTTCAATCACTTAGAAAATGGTCAGACTCAAATTTAAAGATTGATTTCCTATTGACTTCAATGTGCTTGAATTAACATTCAGTACATGTGAACTGCTTGGCGAAAATCTGGCAAACTGAACCCAGGTACTTTTAACTTAGGCATCAACAAGAACTGTCCTGGCCTCCTGCCTTCCCCTATTGTCCTATCACTATGATCAGTGCCCTCTCTGTCTAATACTGAGCTGCAGAATGCAAGGATGAGGGGGATCAGGGTGCTTGACTTCTCCAGGAAAAGTCGTCACTTTTCACAGAGCGCTCTGGATTTCAAAGCTCTTGAGGCACTTCTGAAATTGCCTGAAGGTACACGTTGGGAGTGGGACCTCTAGGTCCCTGTATTTTATTCATATGTTAAATTAATCTCCTTGATAAGATGAGAGGTTTACTTTAAACGCACACAGAACACTGTTCATGCAAATCAATTTGGCAACCAATGGATATCATTACAGATAAGGACAAGTAGATGTCAGAGTGGATTTTGAAAAAGTCTGTTCATCTCTAAACACCAGATATACTATATAGGAGCCTGGATTTATAGAAGGAAAGCCCATTCTCACTGTCAGATGCTGCCCTCTAGTGTACAACTGACAAAATGACCATTCTGACAATATATGGAAACCTTTTTCTGGGAAGCTTTTACCCTGATACTGGAATACTTTGCATCTAATTGATTTATTGACAAATCTATTAGAAAATCAGTGCTTATGTTAAAGGGTGTCAAGTTATGTCAATATACACAGCATGGCAAGGCAATGTAGAACACATTTAACTGTACCGTATAGATAACCCAACAACGATCTCCATGCAGCTTATCAAAATGTACAGAAAAATACCTTTATTTTGTAGATTTTAATGCAGTTATGTGGTCGCTCAGCTTCTAAATTAAAATCTTATGTAGCTGGTCGGTGGGCTTTTGTGGCAAGCAAATGTTATAGAAGGTAATGTTTTCTTTTATTCTTATTATTTATTTTATTTTAGAGTTCATTTGTCAAAAAAAAAAAAAAAAGGAAACAGAATAATAACATATGCAGGGGCAGACTGACAACTCATGGGGCCCCCGGGAAATAGGGGATCATGGGGCCCCTGTGTCCTTGCCCAAAGTCAAAAAAGCCTATGAAAAAGGTACCAGGGGCATCGCATGGGGCCCCCTACTGACCCCAGGCCCTCGGGAAGTGCCCAATTTTCCAAATGGTCAGTCCGTCCCTGAACATATGCTTAAACAAACAGATAAGTTCTACTCTACTGATGAAGCCAGTTTTACAATTTGTGTTCTAGGTATGTTTGGAGGATGATGCTCATTTATAAGGCCTCATGCACACTGAGCTTTAAACATGGATTTTAGGAGTGTGCAGTGTTTTTGTTTTCTGCCTCTAAATGCCCCTTCATGTTAGCCTATGTATCCATGCACACAGCATTTCAGATGCTTTTGGGAGCACTTAGGCATGTCAAGCGCTTGAGTGTTAATTCATTTTCATTGGCAATAATAATAATAGAATTGCTGTTATTGGGCTCCAGAAGGTTTTACCTCCTTCATGACCACAGCATTCCTATTCAGCACTACACTACTTTAATTCCTTATGCACACTGGGCGTTTTTACAGTGGCTGTTTTTGGCTTTTGACATTTTTATCTACAGCCAGTAAACTCCCCAGCATGTTATCCCATGTGTCCATGCACACATAGACTGTAATCAACATTTTATGGCTGGGACGTTATTGGCTGGAAAAAAAAAACAGGACTAGTGGGTTTCTAGAGAACTTTTTTAGCTGTAAAAACGCTCTAACACTGAAAAATGTGGCAAAACATGGTAAAACATTGCAAACCGGCATTTTGGGACATTTAAAAAAAAAAAAAAAATTCTTGGTTAAAAGAACGCTAAGAAATGCAAACGTGGGAAAACGCTGCTAAACACGGCAAAACGCCGATAACGCTAATGCAAAAACGCTAAAAAATTCTGAAAAACTCAAGTTTTTAACGTGGCTTTACACAGCTAACGTTACCAGCGTTATTAAAAATCTCAGTGTGCATGGAGCCTAACTGGCAATTGCGTGGTCATGCAACACTATATGAAATTTGTATCCTTTTTTTAAAACTAGTAGAGCTTTCTTGTGGTGGTATTTGATCACCACTGGGTTTTTTTTGAGAGATAAATAAAAAAACACCAAAAA